ACATTTCTTACTTAATGGAAACACTGCAGTTGCGAAACTGTGTTTTTCGACATGAACAGAATATTGACAAAGTTTTGCGCACATTTGCAAAGGAAACGCAGCTACTATTTGAGTTAATTTCTTCACAGATAAACATTTATGAGAAGTTCCAGTAAATAGTTTTGTTTCCAATCCTGATTAAAACCGGCTATTTCTGCACACGTCAAAATTAAAAWGAAGAACTACTGAAAAGATCAAATTTCAACTGGCTGGTTGCCATGAGAAGTCTATCTCTAAGTGTGCACAGTTTATAACCAGACATGACCAGGAGAGATTCAGTCCGACTGGCAGGACAGGTTTTTTATTCAGTGTCTTTAGATATTTTCAGAAGACACAGTGGCCATCACAGTCCACATCCTGGACTGAAATGAAGWAAAAGGAAGCTTCAGGGAAGCTGAAAAAAGTCTTGAAAAACTAGTTGAACCTTGGTTTAAAAATATCTTGCTTGATTATATAAAAACCTACTTTTTGTAGGTAAAATATAACGAAATGATGAGTGGTGTGTATTTCTCCTCACCTCTGCATGTAAACATGGGGTCCAACAGAGTCAGACAACAGAAAGATAAACTGGTTTGTTTCTTTTCTTGGCTGCTTCAACACAGAACAAACACCTCGATGTTTAGAAGGAAATCAGGAACATGAGCCTCACAGGGATCTGTCTCAGATATCTAACTTTATGTAACTTAAGCTAATGATCAGAGAAATATACAATATTCTTACATTCCCAGCTTTTTCTCACTGTGTATTTCAAAATGATAACAAAATATGGGACTTCAGACACATCTGCATCATTTGTCTGTTTGGTATAGTAGGATAATGAGTTTCTCAAATTCAGATGTAAGTTAGTCTAGATCAGTAAAATGAGTGAGATGCTTCCTGAGAAACATTTGATCTGCTGGTTCATTTAAAAACTTCATCAGTTCTCAGAATCTTATGAACTTATCAGATTCTGTCGAATCAACAGGTCCTCAGAAAGCAGTTATTCCATCCACCTACTGACATCTAAATAATTTTTATTGATTAAAGTAAGGACAGTCAGGTCTGTGTAAGTTCAAGTTATTTGTGAACTTGTACGTTTTTACCAAGATATTTGTGTTTTCTCTCTTAGGTCACGTCCAGTGTTTCTGTATTCCCAGAGTTTCTGTTTTCCCAGTGTTTTTCCTCTCAGTCAGCCCGTCACGCTCACCTGATCCTTGTTGTCTCTCCCCAGGTGTGTCATTGTCCCTCATTGGTCTCCCTCTATGTTTTATGTCTCGAGTGCTCAGATCAGTGTGTGTCATGTGATCCTGAGACTCAACCTTTTTCATTACGTCAGCTTATTCTTTTGTTGTTATTAGACACATTTCACAATACCTCTGAGTCCTCCACGTTTGTCTGAACCTTGGGTTTCAACACAAAGCATGATAAAGACAAACAACAGGTTRATGACATCTTTAGAAAACCCCAAGCAAGGACCAATCACTATTGTTTTATGAAGAATGTCTAAAAATAATCCTGTTTTGTAGCAAATGAAAGAGGTTTTTTTTCTTTGTTCTACCATTCTTTGGTGACAAATTAGAAACAGGTGGAGGTTAAATAATTTGTGTATTTAAAGGTTGAGTTTYATGATGTGATCACTGCAGCCATGGATTCTAAGACGAAACCCAAATGAAGGGAGGTATCACATCTGGTTAATAATAAGCAGTTGTGAGTACTGAGTACTCAGTTTCCTTATTTGAGTCAAAGTACTGATCCTACTGGTCAAATATTACTCGAAAAAAGCTCTGTCAAATTATTGCTTACGGTAAAGCACTGCAATTTGTTCTTTCAAAAATACGTAAGTACAGATGTTGAGGTTCTTTAACAATGTATTTCACTTGAGTAGTTGAGAATAATTGAGAAAATCTTCTGTTATACTGGTATATAATAGTAGCACCAACTATAAAATAATAATGCATTAGTCTAGAGCTTTTTTAGGCGTTTTCAGTTTTCTGTATTATTCTTTCACTCCTCAGTCACACTCGGTCTGGCTGCCATTCCGCACCGATGATCCCTCCAGACCACCACAATCACACCAACAGATTTATAAATAGTGAAGTTAGGTTCAGTATCTTCCTCAGGGACACAACAGGATGGTACTCAGGCAGAGATTTGAACCGGCAATGCTCTGGTTGCAGGGTGAACACTTACCCTGCATCACTGAAATCTCTATCTTCCTAATTATATCCCCTTTACAAGAACTGTCAACAGATTTAGTTTCTATAGTCACCACTGAAAGGACAAGGCTTGGAGCAGCTTTGTTATAGAGCCAAGTATTAAATGACTTGTTACGGAGCTTTGAATCTAAAACGCTTTACTATAGGTTCTAAATGAGGTGAGTTAGGTATAGGGTATGTTAGTCTTTCCTTTCTGTCAAACTGGTTCACATTTTGCTGTGTCATGCTTTTAACCCAATCAGAACAATGAATCATTGTATACTCAGCTTTTTCTAAACACATAATGTTCATGCTCTACAAAAACATAAACCAGTCCGAAGATCAGATGACTGAACTCAGTGTCCTGTAAAAAATGTTTTGAGTTTTCTGAAAGTAATGGAGAAGTGGGATGTTTCCTTCTGTGGAACAATGAGATCAGGTTATGGTTCGTTTAGGGGTAAACAAATAAGAACATTTTATTTTGGTTAAACAATGATTGTGGAAGTTCATTTAGGATGGTTTCTGCTGTGCAGTTGCTG